TTAACTTTATTATAATGTAAATTTACGATAGTTTTTTTTTTTGTTACTATGCTTTTTTTTTTATTTTGTAATTTTAATTGATAAATTTCCATATATATTTAACGTTTTATACTTTCCTTAATATTAAAAAATTTTTTTTTCTATTTTTTTTTCTTCCTTTTATACACTTAGTTATACATTCTACTTAAAAGAAAAAAAAATTTATTTAGCAATTTCATATATGTACATTTTTGTTCCAACTATAGAAATCACTCTCCAATATACAAAGAATTTTATCGTAATTCATATTAGAACTAAGTTGTGCTTGATGTGGTGGTGCACTTTAAACGAACGCGTTTAGTATAGCCTACAGAGCACGAATGTCGAAATTATTTTTAAAAAACTTACAATGCACTGTTAATGTGCAAAGCGTTAATAGTTTTCAATCTTCACCAATAGTAGGCAAATTGTTTTTTGTTGTAATTCAATTTTTTTCTAATTGTGGTATTAATTATCTAATAGTAAGCTGATGAAATCTAGGTTACTCTCGAGAAATAGTAAATTACAAATATACAAGACTTTAATTAGACCTGTACTTGCTTATGGATGCGAATGTTGGACCGTTAAAATGTCTGATTGGAACCTGTTAGCTACTTTCGAAAGAAAAATATTGAGAAAGATTTTTGGACCAACGAGAAATGAGGACGGAACTTTCAGAATAAGATACAACCATGGGCTGGAAGAAATGATGAAATTTGAAACAATTACAAGATATGTAAAATCGCAAAGGATAAGATGGCTGGGCCATGTAATCCGTATGAATGAGAGCAGTAAGGTCAAAACAATATTGCAGAGAAAAGATCACGGAACTAGAGCTAGAGGCGGGCCTAGATTGAGGTGGTTAGATTCGGTAGTCGAAGATTTAAAAGTATTGAACATAAATAACTGCACAACATCTGCACAAGATCGAGACAATTGGAAGAGGATAGTGAAGGAAGCTTTGGTCCACAGAGGACTGTAATGCAGTGGAAGAAGAAGGTATTAATTATCAAACCACATTTTACAGCATATATACCATAAGTGAGATAATGCAGTACTCTAGTATTTAAATTCTATTCCGAAATTAATGATTAAGCTTGATTCGGCAATTTATATTTAAGCTTAGCAAGATTTAAACAGTGTATTACCACAAAATAGAATTTAAAGTAAATCTCACTTAAATGTTTAATAATACGATACTATAACTCCACTGGAATATGCTATACTATTTGCGCATTTATTTAAAATGTACCTCAAAGTTCGGGTTTTTCATACCTAAAACAATTATTTGAATATGTTAAAACATTTTTTTTAAATAAATTAATTACAAAATTATTTAGAAATGAGATCTTTCTAACTTTTCAGAGAGCCTCAAAAATTTAACTTAAATTAATTTGGTATTTATGTTGTTGTTTGATACGAATTTTAACGAAAAATGACGAAATAACAAATATTTCTCTTAATTACTAAAAACAAAATCTCTAATTTATTTTTAATACAAATTACATTAATCATAAATTGATAATAATCGATATATTGATAATAATTTCATTTAAATTATTTGATATAAAAGGTAAAAAAAATTATTTTAAGTATTCTCGTAATTCTGGTATATTCTTTATAATTTATAAATTTATACATTTATAACAATTTGAATTTTATTTAATTCTCATTCAATTTAATCTCAGTAGTTACTAAACCTCGAGAGTTCGGTAAAAATATTTTCAGAAATGCATTCTACATATTTAAATTTCATTTTACTATAATGGTTTTTATGCATTTCGTTATATCCCACAGTAATCTATAGTAACTTTTTACATTTTTAGTGCAATATGCAATATTAAAGAATTTGTATGGTTTATGGATCATAAAAAATTTTTAATGCTTATGATTGATAAATAGAAAATTGAAAAAGTTGGTCAATCGTTATTATTTAATTTTTAGTTTTATAATTGATGAAAAAAATAGAAAAAAAAGTTCCTATATGTTTGAACTTTTTCCAATAAAATTCAAAAAGTTATTTAATTACTCATTCACTAAACTTTTCCATATAAGTTATATACAGTTATAGTTAACTATTATATACTATTCCATATAGTTAACTATTATATATAAATTGTTGGACTTCTTTTTGTTATACAACTACAAATTTTATGTGTTCTTTGATTTGTTTTAATAAAGGATTTTTATGGTTTTTTGTTTCAGTTTAATACGAAAATCCTTTAATTAAGAAGGAAAAGGGGTGTAGAAACACATACACATTCAGAAATTTTTTGGAAAAATTAAGAAGAATTAAGTAATAGTTTTTAATTGAAAAAAAAACTAAAAAATTATATAAAATATTTGATAAATCAAAATTTTAAAAATAATAGTTTTAATAATATTTTTCCAAGGTAAAGATATTAAAATTAACAAATTGTATACTTATGAAATGTTATTGAAAGATTGAAAAGATTTTAAATATTTACAGAAAAATATAAAAAGGACATTTGTTTATATAAGGTTCTAACTACATTGATATATGCTTGCTTTGGTTCTTCTTATGATAAAATTTTTTTTTTAGTTAACTAACAATATTTTTTAATAAATTTCGTTAATTTTTAAGTAGTTTTAAGAAATTTACTTTAATAGGAATTTTAATAATTAAAAGAAATTAGGTGTTAAATTAAACTTATGACTGAACTTATCTCATTTATTATACTCGTAACCTACCAATTTTCGGTCTTGAATTTTATACAAAATTTGTTTTTAAATTAAAATCTTGATCCTTAAATTAGTGAAAACGAAATAGTTATATCACAGCTACAAAATAACACTGCCACTATATTACCACTTATAAAAATTAATTTGAAAAATTATTACATAAGAACCACAAATATAATTTCAAAATTATCTAGACTATATCCAAAAAAATAGCTGGTTTCCCGGAATCGTATTTCATTACCATTTGGTTTGTATAGCGACAATGTTATTCTGTAGAAGCAATAGATAATTGAAAAATATTAATACTTTAACATAAGAACAACATGCAATAAACCAATAATCAAGAATTTAATTAATTAATTTTAAAATAATTTTATTGATTGTAGCAAATTTTGACTAAATTCGGCGTACTTATTGCCTGAAATAAAATGTTACAAGACGAATTCGAAAAGTAAAACACCAAAATTTATTTTTCGAATTCGATCAAAATGCTTTAAAAAAATCTAATCGTTTTCAACACTTTTATTTGTAAAACAAAAGTATATCTTTAAAAATATCAGCGTTTGTTTTTTGACTTTTATGTTGTAAACTCTTAATTTAATTTTCTAATTTTAACAATACACTATTGAAATCCTTCCATAACATTCAAATTTAAAAACAATCAATCATTAGTATTTTTTTTAACAATAAAATAGAAGAATTTCTTTCAATATAGGTATATTCGTTCTACATAATTCTGTGGCCACAATAAACACTAGCTAAAGTCAACCCTAAACAAAATTAATATTCTATACTATCATCAAACTATTTTTGTCATAATCAGATTATAAGATTAAAAGTACTTCTTAAGAAACAAGGAAAAAAAAGGAACTTAAATTTTCAAAATTGAGTTTGGTTACTATTTATTGTAGCCACAGAATTTGTATGCTTCTGTTTCTACAGAAAAAATTTAAATTACCACCAAAAAAATAAAAAAATTATTCATACATTGTTTTCCAAAAGGAACAAAATAAGAACGAAATTCGAAAATATGAAAATTGAGTTCAAATAATTCCGCAAAAAAGAAAAAACAATTAATTTTTTTCTGTGATCAATTTTCAGATATATTTTTAGCTTCGTTTCTTCAATTTGATTTGAATAATAATAAAAGAGAAATTCTAAAATAATTATTTTAATTTTGCAATATTTTGAAAATAAGAATCTCATTACAATTATAAGGTACCAACAGAATATATTCTAATCGATATATAAATTCTAACATTACAATAACGCTCTTTCAATTATATAACAATAATTATTCTTAGTTCGAATATATATACTAAAATGTTTCATATAAGTACATTATTAATGTATACAGAAATCGTTGAAGTTAATAAGTCTTGAATTTTGTAAGATTACTTACAATAAATTTATTAATTAAATTCGAATGAATCTTACATAGGTCAGATTTATTCGAATAAAACCGAAGATAAAATTAAATAATTTGGAAAAAAAAATTTCGAACATTAAAATATTATTGAAATTTTAATTTAAAAAAAAAATTAATTCAACTTTATTGAGATTTAGCCATAAAAAAGTTTCTTTGTTATATTGTTTATACAAGAAGTTAATTTCCACTCGTTCCACAAAATATTCGGATTTATTCGGAATTCAAACTTTTCATTGTCATTCAAAATTTCAACTTTCGAAAATTTGCTATTGCATATTCAATTTCTTTTAATATGATGCAATTCCTTTTGGAATACAATGATGAAAATTCAATTTTAATTATTTTTAATATTACTTAATAAATTTTATTTGTTTTATTTTAAAAATAAAATAAATCTTCTTTATAATTTTTGTAATTTTACCAATAAAACCTATATATATAAACTCAATATATAAATAAATTTAAAATAAATATTTGAAAATTATAAAAATATTGAAATTTTTGCTTTTAAATTTAAAGAGAAAATATTGAAAAAATTGATTAGCTTTTATGATTTTTAAGATTCCGCAAAGTAAACATTTAAATTTTATTTGATTTTTTGATTTCATATAACAAATACATAAATAAATATTATATTTTCTGTATAAATGTATATGTGAACATATTTCAATACTAATGTTATGTATTTTAAATTTTTTTTTATATAAAATATATCTTTGTTTTCTTAAATTATATTATGTATTAATACCCGTGTACGCATGTATGTACGTAAGTATGAGAACTTAATTTAATTATTTTTGGTTTTACTTATCAATTATATAAAATTTTTGTTTCATTCTTTTTTCTTCTATTTGTTTTTTTTTTTTGTAAATAATTACTTATATACTTATATTATAGATTTACATTTATATTATTTTTAATATTAATAAATAAATGTATAAAGAATCATATAATTGATATATTGGCAAGTGCATTTATTGGTTGTAAATAATCGGTGGCTAAAAACGCTTTATTATTTTCAGATATCGTACTATCGTTGTGAGACGGTGGGGTATCAGGTGGAATATGTGAACCTATATTGTAGTATATATGGTATATAAGTATTTAATATTTATTATTATTATTATTTTGAAATTTATATACAAAGAATGAAAAGTTAATTAATTATAATTAATTATTATGTTGGGTTTTGTATTTCAATAATAAAATTGTCAATTAATAATTCAATAATCGCTTAAATGAAATTATTTTGTTATTTAATTGTTATCTTTTATTTATTCGTTTATTAACAAAATTTTCAATTGCATTTAAGAAAAAAAAAACCCATGCAAGTTATTGATTACTATTTGAATTTATACGAATTCTGCTGAATCTCGGAAAAATTTGTCATTAGCACTTTTCCAAAAATTTTTTGAAAAAAAGGCTTATTAGTTTCACTCTGTCCGTCCGTCCGTCCGTGGACACTTTTTTTGTTTACAAAACTTCTACACCCTTGAAGATAGAAAGCTGAAATTTAATACGTACATAGATCTTTACTAGAAACTTATTTTCGTAGAACAAAATTATTACCTATCTCCCCCCTCTAGAAGTTATACCCCCCCAAAACCTTAAAAATTGCCTTTTTTAACTATTTGTTGCAATGAAACCATAAGCATTTTTGAAATTTTGCAAACGCAAAAAGGCAGCGGCTTGCTTCCTCTAGCGCGGTATACTATAGTTAAACTTTAGAAAATAAAATGTTTTTCCGTTCAAATTTACCGTTATTTAAAGTCAGTTTTTTTCAAATTTTTGATGTCGTTTTTCTTCTAGACCCCAACCTGTAGAAGCTTGAAATTTTAGGGGCTTTTTGACATTAAACAATAGTTCATTTCGTTAGAAGAAATAGTTCATTTCGTTAGAAACATTTTTTTCCATCTCCACCCCCTCTCAAGTTATCGCCCCTTGAAATTTGTAAAATTTGAATTTGAAAATCCGAAACCACAAGCTTTTTCAAATTTCTATAAACGCAAAAAGCTAACGGTAAATTTCATGACATTAAAAAATAGAATTATTTTTCTTAACTCACACAATTAACCCTTAAAATCGAGCATTATGTTAACCCCACTTTATATTAATTTTTGCTTTATTTCAAAGACTGCATAAATCGTTCATCCTAAATATATGCAATACTAGAAATAGTTTTGTATATGAATGAAAATAACTTTAATAGTGTGATAGGTATACATAGACTGTATTTAAAAGCAGAATTTTCACTTGTTGAAGGGAAAAGTGCTAAAATACAAACCATTGCTTTGACCCAACTTTATTTTTATACAAATTGTTCGCAGCATGAATATATTTCGAGTAATGAGATTAAATGTAAAAGTTATTGTGAGAATTGTATGAAAATATTTTTATACTTGTTTGTGTAAAATTACCCTCTTTTAATTTTTTGAACACCCACCTAATTCACTCAGTCTTTACTAATTCTTATATCAATAAAAGTAAACCACTTAAGTGAATTTTTGACACCAAAACGCAAATATTTTCCAAGGTAAGGCCAAATTATTTTTAAAGTTGCATAGCAGCTGTTCAAAACATTGTAAAATTAAAAAAAAAATCCTTCGCTGAACTTAATTGAATTAGTTTTTAGTTTATGCTAGAACATTTCACCGCACTTTCACCGAATGTAACGAATGACAACCTAATATAGAGAATTGGTAACAAAATTGTAAAATACAGACCCTCCTTAGTTGGTTTTTGCATAGTTTTGTCAACCAAATTTGAATGTTTAAACATTAGGAACTTTAGAATTAAGGAAATTGTCTTAAAAATGTTGAACTTATATTTATTTTAGAATAAAAGAATTTAAGAGAAAACAAATTTAATATTTTATAATTGAAAATTTAAAAATCTAAATTTTTGCAGATGCATGCAACTATTTTTTATGCAATTATATTTAGCTCAAATACATTTTACATGTACATATATTTATATTTAATGTGTTTTCAAGTGTTTTAAATTTAGATTTTTTCAATACATCTTCGTATATTCCGAGAGTTTATGATTTTAATTATATTGACTGAAAATATCTTTTTGTGAATTTGCGAACTATAATACTTTTGAATTATTTTTCTTAGAAAATTATGATTTTAATTTGAATACTACTTCTTCCACACGTTATTAAATGTTAAATTTTTTTTTTAAAATTAAGAAGCAAAATACAAATTTTCATTTAATTTTTGTATAATTTTTATCAGAAGTTAAAAACACCTTCTAATTTGAAAGCGTGATGATCAAGGAGAAAAGGAGATGATCAAGCAAGTCTCATTTACTTTAAATATTTTAGCATTTAGAACCAGGAATTGACTGACACCATTTTTGGGCCAAATTTTCGGTTTGGCTAAGCAATTTTTTGAATTTTTTACTGTTTAATTGATCTTTTGTGTATTTTCAAGAAATTTCAGTTAAAAATTAAATTAACTCATCTCGGATGGTAAATAAGTGATTAAGTTTTTGAAAAACAACTTCTCAAAGAAATTTTAGATTATGAAAATTGTTTCGTTAATTTTCAATTCGTTTTGTATTTAAATTAAAAATTTTTAACGCACCTTTTCCGACACCAAATTAAAAATTAAAGAAAATTTTTATATTTAACTGTTATTCTTGAGGTAAATTGTTTCGTAATTGCATTTTTCATAGGTACTATTTATATACATTTGATCTCAATACACAACATAGGTTTTGGTAAATCTGATCTAAAAAGTAATTAAGAGTTTAACTCTTCTGAAAAATGGAAATTAAAAATATTCACCACAAAATCAAAGGAAATTTCACCACAAATTTTAATATTTTTTTGTTACTTTAAAGACTGCTTGGTGCATAAATTTATAGAACATTCATTGAATTTTGTGTCACCTTAACTACTTTAATGCGAGATATTTCACATAGTAATTACAAATGTATATAAAAATTATAATTTTTGGCACTATATTCCATTAAAACGTAATAACGCTCCGTATTTATAATTAAGAAAAATAAAAATTATATTGGAAAATTAATTTTATTTAATTATATTATGAAATTACTTTGGTATTTTTTTTTATTTTGCCCAAAATATCAGAGTAATTTTGAATTAAAAGATTTTTTTTTACAAACTTTTGTTTATAATGAAATTTTATTAAACAAAATTTTCTTTTTAAATATTTCAGTAATTTCTTTGAAATGAGTCTTTGAAATCTCCACAAAACTTGAAAATCACAAAAATTTATTGATTTCCAACAGAATCATAAGGATTTTACAGTCATTGATATACTTGTAAATTATAAATATGTCTATAATGTCTATGTGTTTATTCACAAATGTATACCTAAGTATAATGTTCAAAATTTATTTCAACAGGTCGCTACATAAATCAAAAGAAAAATAATATACTATAATATACACTTAAATACTCAAAGATTTCAATTATAATTATGTATAAGAATTTAAGCGATTATTGAAAAACTTTTATAAGATTCTATAAAATTGAGAAAATATTATAAATTTTAATTGACGCTATATTGAAATACAAAATTCATTCAAATTAAAATTAATAAATAAATAAATATGTTTTTATGAAATTTATATACCTTCTTCTTTTGTAGATTTTTTACGAAAACAGCATAACCATAAATATGTACAAAAAACGAAACCAATTACAATGGACACCATTACAACAAGAAATTTAAATGGTGAAATCATTTTCTTTTTCTTTTCTTTTCTTTATTTTTAATACTAAAAATTATTTTAATTTCTTCTTAATATTTTATTTAATTATTTATAAATAGTAAATTCATTATAATATTATTTATTAAATTAATTAAATTTTTATTAATTAATTGTATTTTTGTTTGATTTTAATTTAATTTTTCCCTTCAAAAATTTTTTATAGTAATTTTCTTGTTTTTCTATTCAAAAATGAACTACCGGTTTTCAATTGTTATTAAAATTTTCTCAAAAAAAAAATATTTTATTCTATTTCTTTAATTTTTAGTTATAAAAATAATAATTAATTATATAATTTTTGTATAAATTTAAAACACACGTGTTATATTTTTTGTTTTAATTGTAGATTAGCAAAAAAAAAAATATTTTTACAAAGGATTTAAAAAATTTGTTTTTAATTTTTTAAATTGTGCAGTTTGTTTTGTTGTTTTTTGTTTTACTTTGTTATATACTAATATTATTTATTACTATATACTGTTGACGATTATATATGTATTTATAAAATTTTAAAATTATAATTAAATTTAATAAGAATTCGCCGTATTGTATGCAATTTAAAATATTTTCACAACTTATTTGCTTGTGTTTGTTGTTATTGTTATATTTCCAATTATCTATTTAAGAAATAATTATAAAAATGTTTTTTTTTTAATATTTCCGCGGTATATGACCCATATGATGTGGGATGAGATGTACTAGAGTATAAAAATATTTGGCAACATTCCTCTAGAATTGCATTCACATTTTCAGAGGAAGAGAGAATTTCTCATTCCCAAACTAATAAATCAGAGAGATGCGAGTATTAAGTAATTGTAAACAAATTTAAAAAAAAAAAAAAAAAAAATAAAAACAAAAAATAAAATTAAAAAAATAAAATTTTATTTTCTTTTTTTTTCAATTTTTTTTTTCAAATTTTCAAAAATTGCCTTTTTTATTTAAATATTTTTTTTTTGTTTTAATTTATTAATTTAAAAAAAAATTTTTAATTTTTTTCTAATTTTTTTTTTTCTTAAACAATTTTATTATTTGCTGAACGAACAGACTTAAAGAAGAAAACTCTTGAACGTTATGTGTAAAACTGAAAATAATTTCTGATGATGAAAACTCTTCTTGCTTGTCTTATGTATTTATCCATTTATAAAATGTATGAAAAATAATATACAAACATACATACATATATTATGTATATAAGTATGTATCTTGCAAAAAAAAAATACAAAATACAAACATAACAAAAAATATAGTATAGAGAATAAAAAAAGCTCATCAGTTCTATAGCTGTTATCTATATTAAAGTATTTACTCTGTATATATACGTATGTACATATATAAATTTTTTACATAAATATTACATTTTATAAATCTGAGTACTTGTTGTGTATGTACAAATAAATAATATGCAATATAGAAACTAATGTACATAAATATTATATTATAGAATTCCGTTCCACATTGGAATATATATGAAAATATGATTGAAATACAAAAAAAAAATTATTGAGGAATTAACTATCAAAATCCGATTTATTACATTTTTTACACGCTATGTGAATTCTATTAGAGAAATGCATAAAATATATACTACTTTACGTTAAAATAATTTAATTAAGTTTTGTTTTTATTATTTGTAGTGTTTCTGTTAAAAATATATTATTCTAATACTTATTCTAATTAAAAATTGTTATGATTTGTACATAACAACATGTCGTCAGCTAATTTCTAGTTTGTTTCATAAGCCATTAAAATGACTCCGAGAAAAAAGAATTTGAAGTTCAATGAACCGCAACAAAAACAAATCTATACGACAGTGTATTAATTTAGGAATATGGAACAATTTAAGTTATGGAACAATGATGAATATCAAACAAAATCGACTGAGAGTTTCTCAAAAGCTAATAGAATTAATGAAAACCGAGTTCAAAATACTGGAAGAATGTTTTTCATAGCCCTAGGATCAATTTTTCAGTCAAAGTATATAAATTTGGCGTATGATTTTATCGAATGCTCAAAATGATTTCTAGAAGAAATTAATATGCTCAATCCTTTTTTCTTAAATTTTTTGTACAAGAATAAAAAAACTTGATAATTTTTTTTCGAATCAAAAGCTGAATTTTCGTTAAACCGTTTTCATGAGACCGTTTAGTTCTTTTGGTTCGGAAAATGTAAACGTATTTTGGCTTTTTAACTAATTATATACTTAATTATATAACCTAACCTTCGCTATATTTATAAGAATTATAACATCCTTCTTCCAAATATACGAACCGATTTTTTCAATTTTATATAAAAAAATTTAACATGCTCTAATTTTGTTATTCAAATTTTCTAATTATGCAAAAACTATAAAATTATATACTTTAATTTAAATTTTATTATTGAAAATCAATAAATTCCTTATTATTCTTATAATTGAATTTTATTTTCATAATTTTCATAATTGTTTTGTGGATTTTTTGAATTAAAAGATTAACAAAAATTTTCCATCAAAATATTTTTTTTTTAATTGAAAAAATATTTGCATTAAATAAATTTCTTTTGTATAATAAAGGAAACCAAATCACATAGTAAAAATTACAGCATATTATATAAAATAATGCGAAAAAGTTGTAAAATTCAATTAAATTTCGGTTAGAAAGTTTGACAAAATGTTCGACAAAAATTAAAAAATTTGCTATCAATACTTCAATGTTGAAGTTTCAATTACTACGTTGCAATGGAATAAAAATAGAATTGAGCTCATTATTTCTATTCGATAAAAATTTAAGAGTTTGATTCCAGTATGATTGCCAACCAATTGACTCTAAAATTGAATACGTATTAAATAAATAAAATACTAGACTTAATAAATTATCAAATTGTTCTGCATAAAATTCTCATTCTTAATTTAAAATTTTAAAACTAACTTTATTTTTTATTTATTCCATTCAGTTATTAGGGTGAAATTAATTAGATAATGTGTAGCTAGATAGAAAGTTAGAATAGTATACTCTTAGAATAGTAATACTTTTTTTTATAACTAACTTAAAATAGTTTCATGAAATTTTAAATAAAATTATGGAAAAAGTTTTTAAATCGAAAGGTTGTTAAATATGAGTCCACTCTGAAATTGTATTTAAATTTATAATTTTTGTTTTTGTTGTTTTTTTATTTCATAAATTCACAAGTTCTTCCTCAATTTCAAATGCATTTCGATATAATAATAAATTTGTTAAAAATATTATATTTAAGTTTCAATTAACGTTAACAGCAAAAAAAAATTTTTCACATTGAAAAAGTTTTGAAAATTTTCGTACAAATAATTTTTTATTAGAATTCAACTTGTTCTTCTTCCTCCTTTTTTTTTTTTTTAGTTTTTATGTACACATTTTCCACATTTTCTCGTAAATATAATTTTATTTTAGTCAAGTACAAAAAAGTATATAATAAATAAATACATTATTGTGTATGTATGTAGAAAGAATACATTTTATAAACAAGTATGTAAGCTTATAAATATTTAAGCAACATTCATATACACACGAACGTACACACATCTAACTTGTATATATAAAATATAAACGCAATGTAAAATATTGTATGCAATGTTAAAAGAACATAAATTGTGAACAATAGTCAATAATAATCCTAAAAGTATATTTGTCTCTTTAAAGTGTGTGTGACACAAGGAAAGAAAAGCGTAAGGAATTCAATTGCTTTTTCATTTATTTTTGTTTTCTGTCATATTTTTTTTTTTTAACTTTTCTTCATGTTACATTTTCTTCTTTCCTATGTTGTTTACACTTTTATTAGAAAATTTTCAAGTTTTTTTTTTCGCAACAGAAGAAAGAAGAAAATAAAGAATCTTGTAACTTTACCCTGTTTAAATTCTAAATATACAAGATTTAAATAAATTTTAGAAAGACACGAGAGTGTTAAAGGACATTGTTTTCTGTTATCTTATATACATTTTCTCTGCTTGCGTTTTATTTACTCAAACTACAGGTATATTTATATATACATATGTATATTTTATTATTTGCCAATACCGTGTATACAGTAGAGGAAAATAGATTAATATTTTTTTAAATTTTTCGAGAAAATACAAAAATGAATTTTAAATATATGCAAAATTTATATTAAATTTTAGTTAAATTTTGAATTAAATAAAATAGGGCTATAAGGATATTACATTTTATTATACAATGTTTTATTTTTTAAATACGTATGTATATGTAATTGTCTAATTAAGAAACGGGTGTAAGCAATTCGTAGTTACTGTAGAACACAACCTGGTTTATTTCTGGCTTTTCTTCTCAAATCTATAAGTGAAATATGTTTATGTAGAGTAAATTTCAGAGAGTAAGCATATTATCATGCAATATGCTATATGCATTTATTGGTAAATATACATTCTTATATGTAAGAAAAAATTTTTACATTAAGAATATTGTTCATGGATTTTATTTGATGAAATTTGTGTGATGTTATTTTGCCGTTAAACCCGATTTCATGAGCGTTTACAAACCTCATTTTCAATAACACAAATTTATTAAATTTACAAACAAATTTCATATTATTTAAACATAAATATTTAAACAATATTTTAAAAGCGTTAACTAAATTTAAGCGTACACTAGAACACAATATAATAAGCAGTTATTAAATTTACATATTGTGTTAGTTTTATTATTGTGTTAGTTTAGTAAAGCAGTAAAAGCTTCAGTAAATTTTATATTTTTGCAAAAATACTTCGTTCGAGTATCGGAGTAATTGTTTTAATCAATAAAACTTTTTTCATAGAGATAGTGAAAAATGGTCTTCTTCTTGTCCATTTTCTGGCAGTTGCGACATGTTGTTTTGAAGGTTAATAACAGTCTAGCCGTATGCTGCTCTAATGGCCAGTGTCCCGTGTACTTCTTATTTAAGTACTTTTCATTTTATATTTTTTCTTTATCCTTTGCTTTGGCCTTTCATTTTTATTAAATTATACAAAAATCTACTGGAACATACACTATACATTTCAATGCTTATTTTGTAACAAAATTGTATTCACTGTCGCACTTTAACTTACCTTACCTAATACATTCTT